GTCCTCAGACCAAGTCAGACTTTGTCTGAAGACTATGCAGTGTTGATTCCTCTGTCCACACTGATTATATCTATAAAACTTCTTCCCCTATGAATAAAGCATAAACAATATGTGTGTGTGTCTGTGTGTGCGTGTGTGTGTGTGAGACCTAATGAAAAAATCTAACATACATTTTTCTTTTTTAAGTGGTTTTCATGTTAGTATTTAATACATGTACGTAAATGATTTATCATGCATATATCTGTGTCTGGGAAGTGTCTCGGTGTCATATATATATATATATATATATATATATATATATATATATATATATGACTATGTTTTTGTCAAAAGTAGTGTCATATGTTTCATTGTGCTCATATATATTAACGTACAGCTTTCCTTCATAAATATGGGTTGGCACGTCCTTGTCACGGAGAAATTACCTTACTTTATCGCCCTTATTTTTCCTGTCCAAATTTTATTGACTCTATTAAATTATTACCAAATGCTAACATAAATACTTCCGTAAGTCTAGCCACAAGTTGTGAACATCCATCTGAAGTAGATTAATTTAATTATACCTTTTCTATTTAGGCCCTACAGAAGTGGTGCATGTTCCAGAATCCACAGATTGTTGAACAATTAAAAAGCATCCTGACTGCACTTCACGCCCTAATTTCCGACACAGTGTTAAGCTGCAAACGATTAGCACACTAATATGAATTGCTACATTTACTCGTGTGAGAAATCGACAGTACCTTCTACAAATCATTGATCAAACGATCAGAGGAACATATTCAAATATAGTAAACATGAAATTTGTAAAGAAAATAATCATCATTATTACAAAATAAAACAGGTTTACTATGAAAACGTTCATTCCTCGTAAAAATAATCTGGGATGCCTAAAATTGTTAAATATACTAAATGCAAAACGTTCACCATAATTCTTTTATTGTTGGTGCTTTTTAAAATGAAGCATTTTCACTACCACTATTTAATTGCTCAATGTACTTCTTGTTGCTTTCTTTTAAATGAAGCATTTTCAGTATCATTTTATCTCCGTTTTTTCCATATTTTATTACTACATTTTGGAAAATTAACCAAAAAGGGGAAAAAAGTTTCGTCTTTTATAACTACATCAGACTAAAGTAATGTTTCAGTTGACGAAATTACATATGCGCACGAAGAGGGTGGGGACATTGAAATTTTAAGCTATACATGTAATCTTTGTCTAATTATTTCATATTCAACGAGAACTGCGTAAAATATTTCAAACTTAACGAATCGAAATATACCATTGTCTGTACCAACTCTACCTCAACTACGATTGAAAAGAATTTGAGATTAACATAAAATTCGTTATAACTACTTCTAAAGCCATAATAGGCTTAATTAATAAAAAACAAAATAATATTAAACCACAAAATGAAGGAGGAACTTATTCTATCACCTGTAATAATTGCTACAAGGAATACATAGGAGAAACCTCAAGGGATTTAAATAAAAAATATTATATGAACACAAAAGTGATCTTTTACAAAACAATATATTCAGTACATTAGTTACTGACTATAATCAATCTGACCATAATTTCAATTTCAAAATGCTATTTTAAGCAAAAGAAGAAGCAATTTCTCAAATCAAAGGTGTAAAGAAAGTGCCTTAATCGCTAGATCACCGACAGTAAATTTGCATTCAGATTCCTGCAACATTTCACCTTTCTTGGCAGATTTTCTGTTGTCCCAGTGTGGAAAACTTAATAGCAAAATGGATACAAACATAAACGAAAACAAACTAGACATAAATGACGAGACCCTATATCCAGACACATCTAAAAAAAAAAAAGATTAAAAATTTAAAAGCTTAAAATTTCAGCGTCCCCTCTCCTTCATGTTCATGTACAGTTGCATCAACGGAAAAATCATTATAATTCGATGAAGTCCTACAGGACGAAAAGCGTTATAAATTTTTTCTACTTTGTTATTAATTTTCCTAACATTGTTCTACTATATAAAAAAATTATATATCTTCTTTTATTATTGCTTTTAAATGAAACATTGCCTGTATAATTCTGATAAAATAGCTGAATAATAATGGTGAAATTACTTCATCTAAAATGTTTAACGTACCTTAAAAATCTACTCGTAAACATCTTGGCTGTAGTCCTAGAAATGACTGTTATATAAAAGTCTCGACCTAACGAGACTATTTTAGAATGTGAATCGAGATTGTTTTTTTTTTGTGGGGGGTATCAATTTGCAGCATTGAATGTATTTTTAAATATTTAACATATTGACTCCCGCAAGTCCTTTTTTTTTAAATGTTATCCTTAAAATATATAACTGTCCCAATCTAACCGGGCCCAATTGTTATAACCACAATACTTTCGATGTTGTCTCCTCCGAAATTAGTTTTCTGTAAGCTCGGTGGGACATAGTTTGATCAATGCAAGCATTTTTCAATATTTTTTCTATCTGAATTTTATGTACTGATTTATTTGAACTGATATCCTCATCCTGGTTGTTATAGTCCCAACATTTCAGCCATTGTGCACTCTGGCCTAATTCAAGTGTCTGCTGTATTCAGTAACCTTTCAGCCTAGTCCACAATTCAACCCTCAATAGATCGATTGTCCTAACTCATCTATGTATTTATCCTAAGAAATATCTCTTGTCAATTCTTTCTATTTAACTTCTTCCAGAGAGACCAACCATACCTGGCTAACCAGACACATCCGGGTTTTACAACCAAATATAATAGCACCAACTAACCGTAGAGAGATATACGCTATTGAATCATTGCGAGTAATCTGGCGACCTGCATGTGTCAATGACGCGCTTAGAATTTAACGATATCTTTCATAATTTTTAATCGTTAGGTAATTCAGTTTAGATGCTCTGATTATCAGGAATAGACTTAGAAATATATGGGGTTGATTGATTTGTTTTTTTATGGTTTATCAACCCTTTGTGGGTTATTTAAAACCGAAATATATTTCGGATTGTAAGAATAATTATATTTTGAATATTGCTTTAAAAACTTTTTTGAAAATAAAAAATGATTCTTTCTGACTAGACCTAGTATTTAACCCATAGCAGGGGGTGAATTCACACATTTCTCAAAGATTTTTAAGCTTAAGTGTACCTGACAGAAATTCGAACTCGGTGCTCTGATTTCTCATTTCGATCCGCTAACCATTACAACAGCCTCAGATATGAATACCCGGAAGCTTTGCACTCCATTCTTGACTCTGATGACAAGTTTGCCGTCGGGTAAGAGATGTATTTTAGGCCGATGAGAAGTCGGATTTTGACAATTTTCGAGACTGACAGTAGTTAAATTTATAAGCATTTAAAAAATATTTTGCATTTTGGCCAATTGCATTCGGTTTACTCGTAATTTATGAGTAAATATGGTTCTACCCTATAAGTATGAGATTAGACCAAAAAATGGACAATTGCTGCCATATCTGAACTGGCGCTGCTCAATCCTTACTTTCCAGCCTCCATCATCTTCAAAACCGTTATGCGGTCGTTTGGAGAAAGATATATTCCCTACTCTGCAACGTCTTTTCGATAGACACCATATCGCCAGCTTGTCGCTATTCCACCGCTAATTTCCATGGCAAATGTTCAGTGAACTCCGTTCTTTAGTATCCCCAGTTCAGACCTTTACAGCTAGGTTACGCCATGCCATTTTCACAGAATCGAATCACCCACATTTCCTCCGTATTCCAAATTTAAAAGCAATGTTCCACTCAATTGTTTTTGCTAAGAACTGCGTGTGGGTCCTCTCCAAGTGAAGGGTCAATCTTTATTTAGTCCCCTTATCCTCTTAATGTTCACTTCCTACCACTTTTTCTTTCATTAATATCACATTCCTCATTCATTCTAATCATTTTAACAGTAATCCTCTAACTTGAATGGCTCTTGGGCTGGGCCTTGTATTAACTGAATGTTGTATTAAAGATAATTCTGCTAAAATATATATGGTATAGAAAAGTTAACATGTGTAGATAAGTCACGATTTAAATTTAAAATGGAGTCAGAATAAAACTGGACAAATTTAGAAATAGATGAACTTTGGAAATATTTTATTTGTCCTTGTGATGCCGGTTGTGCTGTTCTTGCAAATTCAGTGTATAGAGACAACTGAAGAAGGCTATAGAGAAAACGACTGAAACATTGTGACAATAACAATCAAAATAAGGATACACGTACAGTTGGATTAATGGTAAATAGTTAAGACAATTTGGAAAATTGTTTTGGCATGTTTCATCGATGAATCAGAATTTCATCAGAAAAATAAGTTTATTTTAACATCTTAAGCATTAACGAGAAGAAGCGTAAAAAAACGAGAAAAACGTAATTCATGTTAAGCCTTTGAACGCTTGATTTTGACTAGAATTATATGGTTTTAAAAATTAGACTTTAATTAATTTCAACTCATCTTTATTATTTGTGTATTTATTCATTCAATAATTTTAAGGGTTACGTGTCTCACAAAGAAAACCGTAAATCCTACATTACAAATTGTCATATATATTCACTTTTCTGTTGGATTCTCATCTAAACTTTACTCGTATTTGGATTAATGCATATAAGCTATAATTGTCATCGAAACTTCAGTCGTATTTAGATTAATGCATATAAGCTATAATTCTCATCTAAGATTTACTCATATTTGAATCAATGCATATAAGCTATAATTGTCATCTAAAATTTACTCGTATTTGGATTAATGCATATAAGATATTGTCATCGAAACTTTACTCGTATTTGGATTAATGCATATAAGCTATAATTCTTCAGCATAGAAATTACCACAATGACCCTATTTCTCGATTTTTACTCATACATTTTCGTATTTTCTTTTTTTCATGTTTTCTCCCACCTTGACTGTCTACCTTCTGGATCTTACTAACCGGTTACCATTTACGTTTGGTTTATCATCGATTCCTTCCGGTCGGCTTGCAGACTGTCGGGTGCGACCATGTCTTGAACTCTGATCTCCAGATGGACCAGTGCGGTGTTTGCGGTGGCAATAACACCTGCGTCAAGTCCACAGAGACACCGTCGACAAAGACGGAAGCAACCACCAACGACAGCGTCAGTAAACTTGACATTGCCAAGGACGACGCCTTGGCTCATGACCACCAATTGAGTATTGAACATGAACATCAAAGAGAGCAAGAACAACAGCAACAGTCGCCGCCTGCCATCGACGAATCAGAAGCAAGTCGAAAGAAGAAATTCTCTAAAAAATACCAATATGAGTGGATCGTACGCTTCAGTGATTTGTGTTCGGTTACCTGTTCAGTGGGTAAATCAATCATTTCTTCTATTTTTCTAACTGATCGTTTTTCTCTCTCTTTTTTAAGAAGAGTTCTGTTCTCATTAGTAACGTTTGTATTAATATCAACTATTAACAGTGACTTTCTTATTTTTAATGCATTTCGATCGTCAAATCATTTATAATGTGATTTTATAGTAAAAATATTTAGTAATGCATTTAGAGTATTATTATATGTTGTGTATGATACCTAATTTACAAATACCGACCATATAAATATGGGTTGGTACCGGAAGACGACGGAAAATAAGAGATCGAATCCAGAGACTCTGCCCGACTGCGACTTTCAACCCATTCTGCAGGAACAGTCTTCCCAAGAATATACCAAAAACCTGTAAATATTTTTAAATTTTTCATTGTTTCAATACATTTTGTTACCAACATTTTGTGTTGTATTATTATTATTCCATGCTTATTCAATAAAACAGTATCATAGAAATACCCATGAAAATTTCGACTTTCCTATTTGATTTTCTGATGAAAAATTTTAAATTACTAAATCTTTAAGCCAAAATATTCTAATAAAATATTCATAGAAATTCCCATATCGCATTGTTAAAAATTTGAGGTTAACATCTTTAACAAAATATTACAATAACAATCATAAATATTCCCAAGAATTTTGATGTAGTCTAATGGTTAGCTAGCTGTCACTAGACAATTAGCTAGCTGTCACTAGATCAATTACGACTGAATAATGAGTTCGATCCTCACTGAATGATCCTTACCTTCGGTGTTGTGCCACATTTAAGATAAGCTTAGAAAATCACTATTAATGTGAATGCTGGTCATTATTTAAAGAAGTAAGATAGTACAAACGAAAAATTTTAAATTATGTAATGCACCAGATTGTCTCCCCGGCGTAAGTGACATAAGATCGCTTGCGCTTTGCACGGGAGACTCAATCTGCGCGGACTGAATGACGTCTCACGTGGTCCAGTGACCTTTTTTGGCCTAGGAGAGTCTTCTACCGTGAACTAGTGGAAGGGGCCGCGAAAGATCCGCTACGCGACCGGCTAGGCTTATCGGTGAACGAGTTGAGCTGATTATGGTCTTAGGCACCAGTGCCGGATTACCTCAGCAACTTTTCACTTACCTGGCGATTGCTTCGGAATTGATTATCTCCTAATGACCTGGCCTTCTTATGGGACTTGGCAGATTTGCTCGACTGTCAACGATGTGACCTTGGCTTAGAGGAAACGGCTTCACACGCCTTCTAACATTATCCTCAGGTGCGCCCCTATGGGACTATGTCGGCGAGCTGACGGCTCGTATCTCTCCCGAAAAGCTCGTGCTCATTGATCGCGCATACGCGAGGGACAATGTGTCGCCTGCGTATTCTGGCGTGAAACAGTTGGTGTTTCTGTTGCTGCTAGCCACCGTTCGAATGGTAATTTGGATGAAATCTTGCGATATGAACGTTATTCTCATCAGGATCTAATCCGATTCTTTGAGCATGAAGATTAGAAGTGATAGAAAGTGTTTGGTATCGACAGATCTCAGCGAAAGGTAACTGTGTCGAGCTTAGTTCGCGTGAACGGGGCTAGTCTTGATTTTCTTTTTTTAAGTCTCCCTAAGTCACAACATAGCGGTTTCCTATGGAGCCCTTCCCTGGTTAGGATACTCCTTTCTTGTGTACCTAGTTAAAGTGAATAAGTGTCGTTCCTGATCTATTCCTGACTTCTTTGGTTGTGCCCCTTTTTTAATCTCGACTGGGTCATTTTTCCCATGGCCATATTTATTTTATCATTCCCTCTTCATTAGTGCGTGAGCCGCTTGATTTTGTCTGAAGACAGAATACAGCGGCCTCTCTTATTTCTTTGGGGGTTGGATGGGTTGAGGGTTATATTTTAGTTTGTTTTCGGGTTCATCCATTCCACTCCCTTCGCCTTCATTGCTTATCAACAATAGATTTTTATATATAATTTTATACTAAAAAAATTTATGTCATGGGGTGTTTTGTAGGTTCCCTGTGTGTGGGCGATATCGTGGTATATTTAGGATTAAATGATGACGGACGAGTTTTTGTGGTGGATGCGTAAATTGTAATGAATGAATGGATCGTGAATCTGATTAGCTAGGTATAATGTTTGGTGTTTAATCACCCAATTCCCTTCTATTACCAGAGATATTTACTTTGCTGTGTGCAGAGAAAGTGGAAACGTGCACCATAAATAATGACGCAGATTACGGTAATAGAGTCTTGATAAAAAGAAATCCAGTTGGTACTAAAATACAAACATGACAGTGGTTGTATATCTTTCTACTACAACAAGAATTTGCTGTATCAGTTCTCCATGCAATGATTATAGGGAAATAATGTTTTGGTGTATGTATTAAATGACTACTGCCTGATATATTACATTTATTATATGTTTAAAGCTGAAAAGTAAATTCAAACACACACACACACACACACACACACACACACACATATATATATATATATATATATATGCAAGAAAAGAAAAGATCAACCTTGCAGCAATGAAAAGTGTATAAATTATTTCCAGTTCAATATAAAAGAAAAACGAACAAATAAACAGTCATTTGCCCTGACGAGTGGACGGATCGATTGTTCGAGAGTCCGTCTACGAAACGTAACCTTTGTGTGTTTACGGGGAAGTTGTTGAAAAGCTCTCGGCGGTAAGGATTAAAGTAATGGGGGAGACGATTGCCAACTATGGTTAACTGTGACGGGAATATCTTGACGAATCTGTACGTTTTATGGCCCCTGTTTATTCTTCTGTCAGGCTGAGAAAATTCTAAGCATACACTCGATATATCTATTTACTAAACTGTACATACTTAGATGTATAGACGTAAATACACCACTAATTCCATAGCTAAATCACTTTACATATTAAATATTTGTCACTTAAAACCAACGCTTTTTTACAACGTTTAATTACTTAATTAATTAGTAATTTTTACAACGTTTAATTACAACAACCCTAACATTATACAGAGAAAATTTCATGTCAAAATTTCAGTTTATTATTTAGTTTTCCATTAGTGCGCTAAAATTTTTTAAATATCAAAATTTGATTAGTGCATATATAATACTCGATTAGTGTGGTAAACTATTCTTCAGTTTAATCAAAGTAATTGAAAATTGTTACCGATGTACACATTAGTCGCACTAATCGAGGGATTGCTGTTGTTGATACTCAGATGAAGACCAAGAGGCGACAGTTGACTTTTATATTTCTATACGCTCTCTCCCTGCTATTGTACAGTTTTACCCATAAATATACCACACCTTAAAAGTATATTTTTATCATATAATAAGTTCTGTTATTTATCTTATGACTGGAAGTTTCGGGCAGTTACATTGACTCTTCAGGAGACTTGATGCTAAATTAAAAAAGACTGCTTACCTTCCAGAATTACCAGAGTCGACAGTTTTGGGACGAAATCCAAGAATTCCGTATATATGTGTGTGTGAGTGAGTGAGAGAGAAGAGAAGAGAGAGAGAGAGAGAGAGAGAGAGACAATATATATATATATATATATATATATATATATATATATATACGGAATTCTTGGATTTCGCCAAAAAACGGTTCACTTTGGTATTTCTAGAAGGCAGGCAGTCTTTTTAATTTAACATCAAGTCTCCTGAAGAGTGAATGTAACAGCGCAAAACTGTCATAAAATAAATAACGGAATTTATTACACACAAAACACACACACACACACACACACACACACATATATATATATATATATATATATATATATATATATATATATATATATATATATATGCCAATGGATTCAATATATGCAACACCCAAGGTCCTGCCTCTAACTTTTACATGGCACATTTCGAAAACAAAGTCTACAAGTCTATACACGGTACATTCATGTCTTTTATATATATATATATATATATATATATATATATATATATATATATATATATATATACGAGTAGGAAATAAAAATGAAATTACAAACCTAATATCAACTTTTGAGAAATCAACAACTCTACACTAAAATTCTCATACGAATTCAATGTTTATAATAAAACTCCATTCCTTCACGTTCACATAGAAGTCAATTCAAATGCATTTAACTTCTACTTGTATAAATAAAATTCTCGCAAATCAGACGAATTCTTGCCTCCTAAACTATATCAGTGAATACTCAGAAAGATATAAAATAACAGTAATAAAAATTTTCCTAAACCGATCTCACCTAACCCCTCTTCCCAGAGTGGACTCAGACATATAAAACAAACAATAATTTTTCCCATTTCGTTGTCAGCGACGTTATCGTATCCAAGAATTTATTATTTTTATTTTCTGATTGCTTCCTTTATGCTGATGGCGTTGATGACTAAGTAGACTAATTCTTGCATGCAAGAGTCGATGGCATTAACTGCATAATAATGTCGGTGGAGGACGAAGTCGATTTTGTCGGGCCTTTCGTTATTTGACTTCTTTTTTTTTTTTTTTCTTCTGGTGGCTTCGAAGTTTTTTGGTTCTGATGGTGATGGAACATGACCAGTTGAGACTGCCTTGTGCTTGTTTTCAAGCGATTTAGGCTCAAGCCCAGTATTTTTTTGTGTTGGTCCTTTTATTTTCGAAGAGGGCAACCCTGTGGTCTTTTCGCTGGAGTGAGCTCATTGAATAAGATTTGACTTGGCATGGAAACCTCGACTCTTCCATTTTTTTAAATGTCCTGACCATCGCAGACGCTGTTAAATGATCAGCGATTCGATGCTTTGTCTGTTTACAGAACGTTGCTTTTGGTCACATTGTAATTCCATTTGATGTTCATGATTGAACTGATAACCAAATAAAATTATTCCTACAGAAACTAAATGACACCAACACTAAAAATATAGTATAACATAAAAACCTTTTACTGCATTTACC